GCCCTTGGGGACACCGTCCAGCCGGGTGTAGGCGTACCATGGCACTGACAGGGTGGATTTCGCCCCACACCGGCTTGAACGATAGCTCTGGCCTGTACCTACTCATCGCGAGTTTCATGCGATCAGGCGATGTCTGTGCCAGGAGTTATGACCGGAACGTCGCTGACACCCCCCCGGTAGGTTGCGGAGCCCCCTATTTTCGGCTCTTTCTCCGCAACCACTTGGCCGATTTGACCCAAAATGGTATGGGCTGATAGCTGCGGGCCGTGGCTACACAGCGCATTTTGTTGTACGCCGATTGGAGCTCTGGGGGCGGAGTTACAGTCGTATTTGTTGTAGAACCTAACCCTGCGATTCTGCTGAGCCCCCTTTTTCTAAGATATCTCTTCAACCACTTGGCCGATTTGACCCAAAATGGTATGGGCTGATAGCTGCGGGCCGTGGCTACACAGCGCATTTTGTTGTACGCCGATTGGAGCCCTGTGGGCCAAGAAATGGTAGGTGTCGTATAGAAGGAAGTACGACACCGGTGTCGTATATAACACTACCGTATGAAAAACGTCACTCACTCACTCACTGACGGACAAAAAATAATTTAGGGCTGGAGAGCCCAAGCTCCCGGGGAGCTTGGGAAAAGCATTTGGCGGTGGTCTGTTGATACCTTCATGAGGCGACCAAGCAAGCTGGTCTATCCACCACCAAGCGTCTCACAAGCCGTGATTGCTGCCGCCGGTCGACCTTCAGGTCACATGGTGCCGGTGCTGCCATGTACACGCCGAACGCTTGAGTGCCACTTTTACTATACTACAAAAACTATTAGGACGACCCCGCACGCCACAACAAGAAAGACCGAGACGAGGCGACAAGAGAGGCCAGCATGAACGGATTCAGGCGTGGTCGATTTCCACACCGCTATCTATCTATCTCGTTCTTCACAAAAAGGTATATCACACCTCCAAAGATGACTAAAAAATATGGACACCACTCCAAAGGAACTCACCCTTCAACAAGTCACAAAGAGCGATAGCCGAAGAATGAGTGCGGCTACACCATCAAGGCCAGGAATACGAGTATTAGATTGTCCAGCAACCCGTCCCCTATCCCCCCAACCGAATGCTAACGAACCTCTACAAGCGACAAAAAAAAGGAAAAGAAAACCGGAAATGGGCTGCATTGAAACAAATTCAAGGGCCTTCATGTAACTGGCGGCAACGTGTCATGAGCTCGATTCATGGCTTACTCGGCAGGACGGAGACCTCCGTCAGATTGGGTGAGCTTGTTTCTTTCTACACAGGCATGAGCGTGCTTTGCGAACGATCAGCCGCGAAACTAAAAACCGGTCGATGCAGTCGACGCATGCATCATTTCTCAGCGTGAAACGCCTCCCGCGCTTGCGCCTTGAACCTGTACGTACCCCTCCCTACTCCGATGTCACTCCACGCTCAGGGGGAGACGTCACCTACAAAGCGGTTAGCAACTCCTCGGTATGTCTGATATGCTTGGCGTGAGTCTTGCCAAGCCATTTCGCATTGGGCAAGCACGGACCTTAATGGCACCCAATATGAGCCGGAATAAACAAAGCACCCCCAAATCGAGTCGTTAGCCTACGAATGATGATTGCCAGCGTCGAAGCCACGCCATACACAACACGAGCGACAGACAAAACACACGAGCAGCAACACGCACGCCCTTCCTGACAAAAATTCAACACAACACCACAAAACTCCCCAATCCTAACGCCCCCCACGCCTCTCAACATTCTTGAGCCACCTTTGGCAGAGTAGGAAGGAACGATTGCCCATCGGTGCCGTGGGGACAATGCTCCGTCCTCTCGAGGCCTCTCGAGGACGCGTGTTCAACAGTCTAACCGCCAAGGCATGGAAAACACAAGAGTACGCCCCCCCCCCCCCCCCCCCCCCCCCCCCCCCCCCCCCCCCCCCCCCCCCCCCCCCCCCCCCCCCCCCCCCCCCCCCCCCCCCCCCCCCCCCCNCGTTCTTTTCGTGCCATGGCTCATGCCGCCAAGGAAAAAGCCGCAACGGCACCAACGACCACTAGTGTGCAACCTCTCGCTTCACTTTATTATTGCTTGATATATGCTACGGTTTGGCTTATGCAAAAAAATGCCGTCCGTTGCGGACGTCATTGCCTTGCGGCCCACATAGCTGCCATGGGGTCGTACCCTCGAAGACCCTGCGGTTTCCGCTCCATGTCGTCGAACATTTGTAACGGGTGCGCCTCCGTGTTGAACACAAACTTGCTGAGGTCCACCTATTTAGCACACGAAAAGCATTAGGAGGGGCTTGGGGGGGCGTACTAAAAGCGTCAGGGGGGAGAGGGCACCAGAGGGAACATCTCACAACATGACATCGATCGACACCACAAATTGGGAAAGCACCAGGTACTAGTAGGTAGTCAACACCCCCACGGTATTTCTATGTAAGTTGCTTCACAGGTGTTGTGTTGACTTTCTTTCCCACTACCTGGCCCCCCGCCTCTCACGCCCGAAACACGCGTCCCGTTCCAAAGACGGTTCTCGGCCGAAATGCGTTGATGGAGAATCCTCACTGACAAGGGCACGGACCTCGTCGCCTCTAGTTGCAGCTAGCCTTATGAGTAGCTTGCTTCTTTCTGTCTGCAGCAGGGTTATTGCTGTCGGTCGAGTCAACGCTGCATGGCGAAGCCGGCGTCTTCGTGTAGCAAACCGCCAAACACTATGCCAAACGTGACGTGTTGGCGGTAACAGCAACAACAACAACATCAACATCAATATCATCAACAACAACAACAATAACGACAACAACGGCGCGGATCCCAACCAAAATAGCGTACCTTTTGATCCGGGTCTTGAATGAGGTAGAGGTACTTGAGAGTCTCCGCCAAGAAAAAGGATTCCATCCTGTCCTCCGGCTGCCTACTGGGGTCGTTCACGTTAGGGAAGGACCCGAAAGCCACGGGCAATCGGCAGTGTTTCTCGAACGCCTGTTGCGAACGAACAACGAGGGACGGGTGGGAAGGGAGCGGTGATTCTAGCCAAGATAAGCGGTGGTGCATGTAATAAACGGTAGTGCATGTTAGGCGATAGCGCATTTCCCATTCACGTACGTACAATAGTAGCTTGCAGGGTTTTGATCGGAGCTATTGTACCCTACAACCAACGTCGTTTTCCACATCACAGTTATCGTTTTCCAGAAACTACGGGAGAAATGCTGAACGAGCGAATCCCGGCTCGAGCGTAACTTAACAACCGCGCAAGACCATAACTTACACCACTATTGCCACCGCCAACTCCTCGTCGTTTTTTTGGCACATCTTTCATTATCCAAAAAACAAAATAAGACATGCCTGGAAAATGTTCCAGCTCCAATCTCGGTAGATGGGGTCCCCCGTGATCTGGTGCAACACGTACAGGGCCTCCGCGGTCTCTGGCCTCAAGATGTTGTACGCCGCCTTCGGAGGCACGACCATGTCCTGCGAGGGTAAAAATAGGTACAATACACGTGCGATGCGAGCGGAGTATGTTCACGCGCTGGGTTCGCACATAGCCACGGCAGTCGGACTCAGGGTGAATTACCGTCTGCCCTATCGATGCTAACTGCTGGTTGTGCACAGAGTTTTCCAAAGGGTGTCAAGCCAACCAAAAGACACGTCAACCAGCAACACCCACACATCATAAACAAGCATTGGTGTGGTGCCTCAACAGCCTCCTTTGGCCGCCGGTATGTACACCGTTGTCGTTAATACACAACCATGCATGTGTGTACACTGCGTTTGCGCGCCCGTTTGGATGGAAACGAGGGCAACATAGGCACGTATTCCTGTTCATCGGTAGACTGCCCTCTCACCGACAAACACAAACGCCTCTCGTCGATGGTACGTTTGTTTCTTGATACGTGAATTGAGCGTATACACCCTCTGTCCTTTTCGTTTTGGCAGCGAGCGCGGAGGCCGAGCTCACCTTTCCCTTCTCGAAGGTGACCATCTCAGGAGCGAGCCCGGTCTTCTGCCGTTCGTACATCTGGTAGCAGGTGTAGGCCAAAGCCTACAGCAGCAGCAGCAGCAGCAGCAGCAGCAGCAGCAGCAGCGAAACATGTCAGCAGCAGCAGCGAAGGACGTCAGTCAGTCGAAAAAGCAACACCATGACAACACCAAGACAACACCAAGACCATCAGGAAACCGTAACTACACTGATGTACCAACACCAACACCAACACCAACACGAGATGAAGCAACCAACACCGCCGAGTCACAAACACCGAAGACAAGTACGCGCGTACGTTGCAGACAGGGCAGCATCAACAAAACCAAAACTACGCAAGGGGGCTGCTACTCGCATGGCAGCAGCCGAGAAAACAGGGGTAGAAGCCAGGGGGCACACAGAAAGGCAACACAGAGGAGATGTTAAAAGGGGGTATTCTCATCATGATATGACGTTATATATTCTGCGCAACCCCCCTTGCGGCTGTTACCCCGGCTCTCGTCATCTCGCCAAGTAAAAGGGGACGGGAACGAATCCCGACCAATTTGAAGCCGCAGTTGCACAGGTCACTCTCACAGGGAGAGACTTTTCCTACACGCACGGACAAAGCGAGCGCCTAAAAAGAAACATCCCGGTTGCCAGTCCCCACAAAACGCCATGGATTGTTATGACAAGGCATCGATTGCACGGAGCGCCCACAGAGGCCGCTTGCCTACAATAGGAATGGGTCGCTAGTCCTCAACAGACCCCGGCTGTAGCGGCGACCCAAAATCTGGCCAACACCAAAAGGAAACCTTAACACAAGTCTCTACAGCTTGGTCAACCCGAAAAAGAAACCGTACAAGAAGGCGAGTCTCCAAAGCTAGCTTGGTACAGCAGCACATACGATCACATACCTTGGCCGTCTTGAGGTCCCTGTCCGCCCTCACGGGGTCGTCCGTGGTCTGCGAACCGAGCGCCAGGGTCCCTGCCAAGAAGCACACCAAGTGATCCATCTGCCCATCCAATCCACGGACCCCCCAACCCCGACATTTTTTTTCACCAGTGTTTTTTTTTTTGGAAAAAGGAAAACACCGAGCGGTTAGTAGATATCACACAACAAGGGCGCGGAGTAGTTGGCACTTGAGATGCTACAAAAAATAGCGTGGATATGTAATGAGGGTGCACCGATTGAGAGAGGAGATGTTTTCATTCTAAAACCCCTATAAATGGGCATGTGAGGACAATAATATAATTTGAGGAGAAACGTCGGTAGCAACGTATCGCACCCATCCTTGGCTTGAGCTATGCATATACACAACCAGTGTAGCAGTCACGGTGTCTGAGACAAACGAACGAAGACGCGGCCGAGAACCCAACCAGATGGTGATTGATGCCTGCTGGTCACAATATGTCAACCCCTAGATCTTGCGTGCTTCTGAATATTTTCACTTCTTCCTGCGGTTGTTCCGCCGCCGCCGCCGCCGCCGCCGCCGCAGCAGCAGCAGCAGCAGCGCCCGCTTCAAGTCTCACCGGCATTTCCGAAGAAACAGCAGTATGCATACCACATCATCATCATCACGCATCACCAACAATCCACCCACCTTATCCACGTTCTTGGAGCCGCTTAAGTCGCTCACGTACGTCAGTCCGCTGGGATCGCTCTTCCGGAGCAGCTTGCTCGTCATCCCGTCCATCGCTCGGTCGTACCTGCATCATCCGGTCAACATCCGATCAACCAACCAACAAGATGGTAAGATAGCCGCCAACAAAGCATGCCAAACCAAGCACAGGTCGTGGAATGAACCAACAAACAAGATGGATCACCCAACCCTAACCTAACCCACCAACTGCCTTGTCCCCATCTACACTATAATAGGAGGGCTTGTCTCCTCCAAATATTTAGTACATCCATACATTCTGGTGAAGTTGGGGTCATGCGAAAACGTCCTTTCCGTGCATTCATTCGAATTTTGTCTGCTAGGCGGAGGGTGTGTGTCAACTGTGTGTCAACTGTGTGTCCACAAAGCCCCTTTCGATGATCATGATCTGAAAACCACACATGTGGCATGATACTACGACGGACAATTTACAATGGCAGCATTCCTCTATGTAGACTCACATGGTCCAATACAAGATCCAGCGATGATCATATCCCAAACAACAACAAAACGACCGACAAATTACAACGGCGGCATTCTCTAGACTCACATTGTCCTACGCAAGACCCGGCGGCGATGATCATGATATCCCAAACAACAACAACGAAACGACCGACACATGACATAAAACGACGGCACTTCTCCAGACTCACATGGTCCTGTACTTGGTCTCTGTCTTGCCCCCCTGCAGCCACGCCTTCAACAGGTACTCGTAGAAGGAATCTCCGAGAGCACCAAAGGTCACCTAAGGGCGGACAGGTGTGGGATAACGTACGTACTGTACTGTAAGCACACGTGATTCTTTCTCGTAATTCGGTCGCACGGGCGTTGAGCACACATGCATACGCGACGACCAACGACGACAGCCTTTTACGACCACCACGTTGACATTCTCAGCGCAACCATACAAAACACCGTGGAAGGCAGGCACAAATCGGCACAAACCCCTGTCCCCCCTCCCGACCCCCTGCCGCTGGCAAAGGAGAAGGCAGTCAGCAAGACAGAGCAATGAGTTAAACCTCCCTCCCAGACCTCCACAAGCGCCACGTAAGGCCCTGTGTAACAAAACAGAGATTTCGCCCAAAAACTCCGGCGAACTCCATAAAAAGCACAGCAGCGGCGAGATCAATCAACACCGCGATAAAAAATAGCAATCCTTTCCTAAGGAATACCGCACACTGTGTACCGGAACCCGATCGAGTGACTTACCTGTGAGCCGACTGTCTGTCCGTTGGACGGGTTGACGAAGATGGGGTAAAGGCCGTCCTTTGACGGGAGGCCGTACATGTGGTCGAACACCCTGTTCACCTTTTCCGCGTACTTGGGTATGCCCGTGATCTTGCTCAGGTACCGGAACTCGACCTGCAGGGGTGGCCAAGCAGCACAAGACCATAACCACAGAAATTAGAGAAAAGCGCTACATACTTTGTAGTGGGGGTGCGGTGTCGTGCGCGAGCAGATGACCACAAAACACAGAAATACAAGAAAGCGAGTGGGACATACATGAAAACGGGCTCTGATTCGTTTAGTCTGGTTTGAAACAACGTGTGAGGCATGTGCCGTCATGTGCCGGAGGATACAAATATTCGTCGGAGGAAGTACAAGTCAAAGCGCCAAATGAGGTAATATTTCGTGAGAGCTCGGGTTGTTATTACACACATCTTTTCAGTACAACAGGGGGGGGAGGAGGGGGTCAGTCAGTTTGATGTGCACGGGTGTACTAGTAGCGACCGAACGATGTTAAATGTCAAGACAAAAACACCAAAACAACTGTTCCTTCAATAGCGTCTCTCTCTCTGTCAAAAAAAAAGCAAGTGCCTTGGGGCGTCCAACGTTCACCTGTAGCGTGCCGATTTCCGCCAGCACCGACTTTGTGCCGCCGGAATTCTTGTGACTTCGGAAGCTGACCCGTGCTGTCGGGATGCCCGTGTTCGTGTCGAACGCCGGTAACAGCAGGTCTGCGAGCTCAATCGCCTGGTGAGGTGTTCCATGTTACGATACCGTTTGGGTGGTGCGGGGACAGGGGACAGGGGACAGGGGACAACAGACGCAATGAGCGTGAGGGTGCACATGGGTCTACCTATAGTGCAAGCGTGGCGACAAACGGAACGAAACTTCATTTTCGCTCGAGACCAAACACAGGAAAAAACCTAAAACGCACGCGTGTGGATGGTCTGCCATTTTCGGGGAGGAGTCGGGCCTGTGATCACGGAAGGCGTCCACGTCAGGTGGACAGGTGTGGATGTTAGAATGTACTGAGCAGACACCGGAACAGTTTTTAATATGGTGAAGGCAACAAAAACAACAACAGCACAAAAAAACATAGCAGAGCAAAGTAGAGAGGGGTAAAAAAAGAGTAGCCGGGTTAACCGTGATGATTCGAGTAGCAATTCCCCCAGTGCAAAGCGACGTCAAATGCTTCAAGGCAACCTACGACGCTAGCATGGGAGAACGAGATGATGCAGCAACAATGATGCTGTCTGATAGTCTTCAAGTCTCCTTGTCCTTGAACACGAGAAGCAGGACTCTGTCGTCCAACTCCCGCCCCCCCCGCCCCGCCCCCCTGTTCGTACAACCTTTGACTAAAGCGTGTTCGTGTTTTTCATCAAGCTGCAAGACTGGCGTCTTGGGACAGCCGGTTAGCGCGGCCGATGCTAATTCAAACAAGCACAGGCGTACTCACACACACGGATGCAAACAGATCACATGCACCGAGAGAGAGGGAAAATCACATGCACTGAGAGAGGGAAAATCACATGCACCGAGAGAAAGGGGAAATCACATGCACCGAGAGAGAGGGAAAACTTCCCATCGTACTGCTCGTGCTCGCCAAAAAAAAAAGCACACACACACACGCACAGATTATCATGATCATGGAATATAGAAGCATTTTCACTTTTCTACCACACTGAGACTGGGGTGCATTCATTGGTCAGCCGGTTGCTGCTGTAGCGCGGTCGATGCTAACAAAAAAAACGCACGGGATATCGTAACAAGAACACCCAAACCCACACACCTTTGTCTTGAAGATCTCGTCCTTCGACAGGTCATACGCCGAGAGCAGACCTCCCAGCTCCCGAATCGTGGTCTCGAATACGCTGACCTCGGATGCGTGTGAGAAGGTCAGCTTGTTCTTCACCCAGTCCCGTGCTCTGTTGAACTCGTCCTTCATGCCCATCAACCAGAGCGTGTCTGATTTGTATTTTTCAAAAAGAAGGGAGACAAAAATCACAACACACACAAACAAACGCAAAAGGCGTCATTTTAACCGTTAGACAAGCTTTTCTCATTTTTTTTTTTTTCACGCCCACCACCAAGGCCGCGCCAACCTGTTGCAGACAAACACAAGATGAACGCACGTGCACCACACAGGCGTTCCGTTCAACAACAGGTAGCTCGCACCCCAGAGAACCTTCGAGCCCATCTCTTGCCGAACACACGGGCAGAAAATAGAAAAACAACAACGCACGCACACACTCGGTCAACCGTTCACTCGTCAAGGAGCTATGTCACACGCCACATGACAGAGGGCCGAAAAAAAAAAAAGTGAAGGGGGGG